GCACAAAAATTTTGTTGAAGAGTTGTACATTTCTGCGAGAGATAGTGTAGTATACTTTGAAGGCATCATTGAACTTGTGTCAAGAGGAATTTTAAAAGATAAAGGACAAGAAAGGAAAATATTATATTAAACATTAACTAAATTTGAAAAGAAAAAGACCTGAAATTACAAATATAACCAAAAGAAGATCTTTAAAGATATTTTATAAAAAATATTAAAAGGTATGTGTCTTTTTTTGTGTTTCCTAATTTTAATCATTTCATTGCATTGTACATTGATGAAAATAGCTAGAGTTAGTGATATTGTAGAGAAAATTAAAAATGGTATATAAACATTCACCTTAAAAATATTGGTTATTCATTTAGGAGGTTCTATATATTATGCAAATGAAATATTAAAACTAAAAGATGAAGAAAAGTATTTTATACATAAAATGAAAAATCACCTTGCACTCGAACTATTCAGAGTCTGAGTACAAATAACTACTATAGACAAATAACATTTTTATTAGAAAGACTTGTTTAAAATAATGTCATTCTTTGTGTAAAAGATACTTATGAACTTTAACAAAATATTACCAGGTTTTGTGAGGATATCTCAGAGTATCGTATGTATTGTTGCATAAATGTCAAGCAGATGTAAAACACAACTGCCTGTTGTGAAAGGGTTAGCATAAGATGTTATAGAAGGAAAATGTTGTACCTGTTATAAGAGTGCAAGAACAAGAAATCTACAACTATAAATTTACCACTTTTTTGTCATATTTCTGCTGCTTGATTTGACTTCTTGTTCAGGTGTGCATGTTTTCTTGTCCCGAAGAGGTATAAAATGCATGTTTCTTTAGAAATCTGTAGGTAGCTAAAATAAAATTCTCAGCTGTGAGGGTTGGCTGAGCCTTATTTAGCAGTTATTTTGCTCTATGTCACTACATTTTGGTAATCTTGTATATATATATATATATTATGGTCTAGCTTCAGCAAGTCTGTGGTACAAGTAGGAAATTAGTAAGAAAAACTTTAAATAATGATGAATTAAAATACTTATTTAAATCTAGAAAATAATTTTTATTAAGACATTCTGTTACTACTGATGCATACTGAGCCATTGCAAAGCTGAGGTTAGCTGACTACATTCATCTAATAAGGAAACTTATATAATTTATATACAATGAGTGGATCTATCCATCCCTTCTAATAGAAGAAGATCAAGAAAAAATACAATTTAACACTACTCTTATGTAAAAGCTATACATATCTAATTCAGAAATTCAAAGGTCCATTTTGTATTCTAGGTAGCTGATGACATGGAAAAGGAAAGACGAGTTTTTCAGCTTCAGATGTGTGAAGTAAGGGAATTAAATATTTTTTCTAAATTCCATGCACATGAATAGTGATTAATTTAAACCTTGTGTATTTTTTACTCAGATATGAAGTTTTGGGTTTTTGTTTTCTAAAAACGTTTTGGATTGCATATACATAACAAAAGAAATTTCAGGATGAAAACCTAAAATTAAAACAATTTTTTTGTAAAAAAAGAAAAATAAATAACAACAAAATGTAGTTTTCTGTTACCTGCTGTTTTAACCCCTTTTGTTCTTAACACTGTAGATATTGCTAGGTGAAGTATGTTATTGGGACTAGTGCGAGGTTTATAAAACTAATTGGTTACCTTTCATTTTAAAAAAAAAACTACTTAAGCCAAATTTTAAAAGTAAAAATATCTGAATAAGATTTTTTATTTCATTTTATGAGTAAGAAATTATTTTATTATGCAGTAACCACTTGCTTTTTAATTTCAATTAAAAAAGTTCTATTCAGTAATGTGTATAAATAATGTTTCACATGTATTTTGTTGTTATTCATATACCATATTTTAGACTATTACTTTTCCCTCAAAATTTGTTCTATAGTTTTGATTCTCAACACTTAGAATTTATAATGTTTATTTATATTCATTACTTCCAATAAAGTTTTGTATAAACGTGTTTTAATAGTTATACAGAAGATGATAAAAATACAGCTTCTGTTGACCAATCTTTTATAAAACAGTCTTTAATTGTGTAATTGCTCTTTTTTTTTTTAACCTTTAAATATATCTCCTTAAAACTGCATCTTTTTTCCAATCTTTGAAAGAAAATTCATTATTGTTTATTTCTAGTACCTTATTAAAGTGAATGAAATCAAAACAAAAAAGGGAGTGGAGCTTCTGCAGCATCTAGTTGAATACTATCATGCACAAAATAAGTAAGTGTGCACAAGTTTAGAAATTTATATAATTATCAAGTAAGAAATAGTTACTTTTAAAAAAAGGTTTTTTTTTCTTCTCTTTAATTACCTAATTTTATCTCAAAATGCTGAGTGAAATAGTTATGCAGTTTGCCTTTTAGTTGAAGTGTATCAGTATGTTGATCACATTTTACTTTTATGTTAAATATTACTAGAAGACATGAATGGTTATTCCACAATTGTTTCGTATGTTTGTATGTTCAAGGATGAAGTTAATGCTAGAAAAGTATCAGCATTTAATTAACTCTAAGATACCTGGGTATGTCGGTTTGACCTGTTCTAAAGTTTGTTTTATTGCATTGACAAGAAAAAAACTGTACTGGGTGAAATAGTTTGAAACTTGAGATGAACTTTTTTATGTAGCTTCTGGAAATAAAATATCTTTTTTTATATACGAGGCATTTGAATTAATTTAAAGCTTTAAAAATTTGAAAAGATTTCCTTCTATTTTTTGAACAAACAACAAAAAATTGTTATATTTGTTGTACATTTCAGTTACTGATTTTATGTCATCCTTGTAAAATTTACTATAAAGTGTTTGTTTTATAAAACTAAATTTTATCTTTGTTTTGATTGAAAAAGATGCATGCAGTTTCAGTGTTTAAGATCACTGGTTTACAATAACAATAACTTTTTTTTTTCACCATATCAAATTCATAGGCAAGCTGACTTTTAAAATAACTAAACAGAAAGTTTTATTTAATGTACATAATAAGTTTTAAAACTGTTTTGTTTGAAGTTATTTATATGTACTTTTACATTCTTTTATGATGATTTTCTTTTCACATTCAAGCTGTTAATCATGCCAGTAAGACCTAATGTAAACATAGCGTAACAAACAATGGCTTTGTTGGCAAAACAAACTTGATACATTCAATTCCAAAGTGATCTAACTAAGTTTAACTCATTTAGTTTCATGAACAACTTTTTTTTTCTTATCATTCTACTTCATAATTCAAATAAAATGATAAAGCAAGCTTTAAAAATAAATCAGTACAGTAATTGTTGCAGAAGCTGTTCCCAAACATCTTTTCATTAAGCAATATATCACCAGGTTCAATTTTTACCACTTTGTTCCAATTATACACAAATATCCACTCAACTGGAAGCCATATTGGTTTATACAACAGTTGAAAAAACACAAAAAACTTTTATCATGCATTATATAACTAGCGTATGACTTCTTAAAGCTGAGATATTGACAGTTATATCATATCATATCATGACAGTAGAGGTTGATAAACATTGATTGGCTATAATCAATAAAACTATACTTTTATTGAATTTACAAGATCAGATTAGTTCTATTTTGTTCAAAAACTATTTTAGCTTTCCTCATATGGGCTACGAGTGTCATATTACAATCTGAAAAAAAGTCAGGAAATACACAAACACTAATGTTTTAGCTTGGAGTGTGCTGAAATAATCACAAAATCACATTGTGAAATTTTTTAAAACTTATATGTATAAAATTATTGAATAAAACTCTGAATAATTTTTAAAATGAAATGTTTGAAGGAGTGACTTCAAGTTTACATGCTATAAATTTTGTAATTCAGTGTTGCAATTTTTCCCTCAGGACAGGATGCACCCATCCGGAGACCATAGAGTTAAACTACTTTCATTTTTAAAATCACAAAATACAGTATCTCAAAAACTTTTACAAGTTGTGTACAAAATATAAGAGTGATATAGTTAATAAAAATATATTAAAATAAAGTAAACAAATCTTCTTTTTCTTAAACCAGCTTTTTTCAAGATGGACTTAAAACTATTGAGCACTTTAGTGGCTACATTAAGGAGTTAGCGACTAAACTACAAAAGATTCGACAGAAACAAGATGAAGAAAGAAAGAAGTTAATTGAACTTCGCAACCTTCTGCGATGTTCCCCATCACTGGATGGAAGAGAGGTTAGATTTATTAAGAGTATTGAATTAGTAGAATTGTCTTTCAGGGTAAAGTTGTATATTATTTTGATTTAGTATAAAAGATTTCTTTGAACTTTATGTGATGTGTTTTTATTTTCTAAGTTTGTACATTTTATTGTTTTATCAACTTACAGCAAGTTGGAGCAACACAATCTGGCTATACACTTCATCAGCTTCAGGGAAATAAACACTATGGTTATACTAAAACAGGTTATCTTAACAAGAAGTCTGATGGAAAGATGAGGAAGGTGTGGCAAAAACGGAAATGTGAGACTCGAGATGGCTATCTTTTTATCTACCACTCAGATGTAAGCACATTATTTTGTTACAGCAATAGGGTACTTATGTTACCTTTGTTTATTGTAGCTTTGTCTCTCTTTGAAGTCCAGTGAATACAACATCTATTTTTTTAAGTTTGAATTGGACATCTTATAGCTTTTATTACTTAGATACTTGACTGTATGAAAAAAAAAAGTGAATCTTAAAGTCTTATGATACTTTTTCAATTCATAACAGAAAGAGCTAGACAAATTCAAAGTGTAAAAATAAAAATTTGTTTTATCACTGTTGATGATAATGTTGTGTCTTATTTTGATGCAAATTTGATATTGGAGCCTAATGTTTATAAATTAAATTATTGCGTACAAGTTTCACTTTCTAACTGGTTTTTCATTTTTCATTATTGTAAAGCTGTGTATTTACCAGGTCCAATTGCACAAATGAATTTCTATTTAGATACTTAGTTGCATCTCAGATCTTTGTATTACAAAATATTTTAATTTTTTTCAAATATTATCACAAGCACTTCATATTCTGACATTATTTGCTAAATATGCATAAACAGGAGATTTTTACACATCTGAGGGTTTGTGGTTCATGTTCCATTGCTGTACTAAGAAGCTTCACGCTTTGAGGCCATAAATTTGCTATAAGAGTGATAGTCAAATTCCACTATTCAACCAGGCAATACAAGCCCAAGAGTTGGTTGTGGGTGCTATTGACTATCTGCCTTCCCTCTAATCCTTCAGTAAAAAATTAGGAACAGCAATGTGACCCTTGTGTGGCCTTGCACAAAAATTCTAAAACAAACAGATACCACATTTTGTAAGAGGTTGTGTATTGTACTCGATCAAATGGAGAAACATTTAATATGAGTTAAAATAGTTATGATTTTTGGTCAAAACTGAAAGTATATCATATTTTAAATTATTCTTGCAATTTAAAAAATAAATGATACACAATCTATAAGTATAATATATCGGGAAATATTATTATATTAGTTAAGTAATCATAAAAAGAGAAATTTGCTCTTAAGACTAAATTGAATAGTGATGAAAGGCATGTATGTTATTTTACTAAATGAAAACCTGCTTCCAGTGAAACTAAAATCTGAGGTTGCACAATTAGTTATTATAATAAGTCATATTGACACAGAGGATACAAAGTTATGTATATGCTGTAATAAGATGTGAGACAAAACAGTTTGATCATCTTGATATGTGGGATAGACAGCTAGATTATTTTAATGTGTGAGGTATATAGCTAAGTCATCTAAAGATGTGAGAGATGCATCTATATTATTGTAATGTGGGGTAAAAAGTTAGGCTATTATGATATATAAAGTTCAAAACAATGCATAATAAATCAATCTTGTAAAATGGGCCCTCAATTAAGTTTTCTTGATATATGGGCTGTACAACTAGATTAAACAAAGAGGGCAGGCAGGTTACAACTTATGATGTTGTACAGAGATTATGTTATGGTGTGGAGTCAGTATAAATGTAATGTAATAACAACAACTAGATATGATGTATGGCTAACATTGAGTTTATATACATCAGTTGGATACATGTTATGGTTATTTTGACATGAGTAAACAGATAGGACATCTGATGTTGGGTGGGGGTTCACAACTAGGACATCTTCCAATGTATCACATATATGTACATTTTACTTGACTATTCCACATGTTGAAGCAATTTTTTTTTTATAATTTATTCATCAGGATAACCTATATCAACTACACAGATTGTAATCCAGTCTAGCTGGTACCAACTACACAGATTGTAATCCAGTCTAGCTGGTACCAACTATACAGACTGTAATCCAGTCTAGCTGGTACCAACTACACAGACTGTAATCCAGTCTGGATGGTACCAACTACACAGACTGTAATCCAGTCTGGATGGTACCAACTACACAGATTGTAATCCAGTCTAGATGGTACCTCATGTGTTACGATAACAATGCTCAGTTCTCTGTTTATCCATTTTCACTTCAATGTGTACCACAAGTATCACCGAGCATCAAGTAAAATATATTGATATGTGATACATTGGAAACATCCACAGAGAATATTAGCATGGCGGGTTCATGAGCAGAGGTGTGGTTTACACTGTAAGGGTATTATAATGTTTGGAGTACTCAAGTAAAATATATTGATATGTGATACATTGGAAACATCCACAGAGAATATTAGCATGGCGGGTTCATGAGCAGAGGTGTGGTTTACACTGTAAGGGTATTATAATGTTTGGAGTACTCAAGTAAAATACCTTGATATGTGTAGTATATATATTGAATATCAGGGTTATTTTGATGTTTGGGATAAACACATGCACACACACACACTGAATCTCAACATAGACAGCCTATTGTGTAGCTTTCTGCTTAATAACATACTAAAAACAAAATATATAAATTATCTTGACATGTATGATATACTATATAAACTATCTCAACTTGAGGGCTACAAACACTCAAGTTATCATGATGTTAGATATATATGTAGGTAATATTAATATAGGGATATATAAATGAATTAACTAGACATCTGGAATGTTCATCTAGGTTATTATGACATGAGGGATGTTTTACGAAGGGAATTTTACATATGAGAAAAATACTTATATTATTATAATTTGTAGGGAATACAGCAATGCCAACCTAGCATATATACAACTAAGTTATTTTGACATGCAGAGTGTATAGCTGGGACAACTTAATTGAGGAATACACAGCAAAGTCATCTTTTTAACATGCATGATACACACCTAGATTATACTTACACACAAATGTGAGTTCTTGATACTTGGGTATATATTTACCACACACACACACACGCACGCACGCATGCACACGTTTGCTGTGTTTTACTTCTTTTTTTTTTTTGCAAAACTAATGTTATCCAAATAAACTATTGTGCACCACTCTATA